AAGGCAGTTGCTTAACCAACTGAGCCACCCAGGCACCCAATTTGTGGCATTTTTTGGCTTGTAGACAGAACACCCTGATCTATATTTTCATGTTCACAAGTGTTGTCTCTTTGTGTGTATCCATCTCTGTGTCCCAAACTCCCCTTTTGATAAAGACACCAGTCATATTGGATTACGGTCCACCCTAATGACCTCATTTCTTGATCACCTCCTTAACGACCCTATTTCCAAGTAAGGTTACATTCTGAGGTACTGGAGGTTAGACTGCAACATCTTTTAGGGGACACAAGTGAACCGATAATAAGCATGTGCCGTATTAATGAATCTAAGAGAAAAACCATATAATATTCTCTATGGATGCCAAGAAAGCCCTTAACAAGATTCAGCACCCATTTATGATAAAAATACTCAGTTAGGGGCGCCTGGGTAGCTCAGTCATTAAGCGTCTGCCTTCGGTTCAGGTCATGATCCCAGGATCCTGGGATCGAGCCCCACATCGGGCTCCCTGCTCTGTGGGAAGCCTGCTTCTCCCCTCCTTCTCCCCCTGCTTGTGTTCCCTCTCTCGCTATGTCTCTCTCTGTCAAATAAATAAATAAAATCTTAAAGAAAAAAAACAAAAAAACCTCAGTGAAATAGGAAGTGAGAGATACTTTCTCAAATGATAAAATGTAGTCCTAAAGCCAACATCTTATTTAATCAAGAAACACTGGAAATATTTCCATGAAGATCAGGAACCAGACAAGAATGGCCACTTTCTCCACCACTATTCCACATAAGTAGCTAATGCCATTAGACAAGACCAATCAAATGGAGGCCTGACAATAAGTAAAGAGGAAATAAAACTATATTTGCAGATGACAAAATATGATACCTGAAAAACCACAGAGAATCAATGATAAAACTAATTCAAACAGTAAAAGAGTTCAGGAAAGTAGCAGGGTGTAAAATAAAAATATAAAATTCAATAGCCTTTATATATACAAACAATAAACAGAGGTCCTAACAGTACAGGAAAAACCCTATTTGTGATAACAACAAAAAAGATTAAATGCTTAGGAACAATTTTATTTTATTTTATTTTATTATGTTATGTTAATCACCATACATTACATCATTAGTTTTTGATGTAGTGTAAATGTTTAGGAACAATTTTAATTAGAAATGTATAAAACCTATATGAGGAGGGAGACCTGAATGCCTCAGTGGGTTAAGCGTCTTCCCTCGGCTCAGGTCATGACCCCCAGGGTCCTGGGATCGAGCCCCACATCGGGCTCCCTGCTCGGCGGGAAGCCTGCTTCTCCCTCTCCCACTCCCCCTGCTTGTGTTCCCTCTCTCGCTGTGTCTCTCTCTCTCAATAAATAAATAAAATATTTTTTTAAAGAAGTCTTTGAAATGTAACTACTCTTAAAAAAAAAACTATATGAGGAAAAATCGAAACATTTTTGAAAGACACTAAAGAAGAATAATTGAAAATACATCCCCTGCTCTTGGATAGGATGAGTCAACATTATAAAGATGTTAGTTCTTCCTATGTTAATTTGCAATTTCAATGCAAATTAAAAATATGCCCATTAAAAATAACGGCAAGCTATTTTATGAAGATAGACGCGTTGATGCCAAAGAGCATATGAAAAATAAACATGCAAGAATAGGCAAGAAAACACTGGAAAAGAAAAACTGTGAGGTTTTACCAGACATTCAAAATGTCAGAGCACCTGACTAGCATGCAACTCTTGATCTAGGGGTTGTGAGTTCGAGTTCCCCATTGGACATCGAGCTTACTTAAGAAAAATGTTTACCAGACATTAAAACAATAAAAGCTTCTGTAATTAAAAATGGGTGGCACTGGTGCATGAAGAGACAAATTGCAATAGACTAAAAAAATGTAGACATAGACTCCAATACATCATTACCCCAGTGATTTCAGATGCACCTTTGTTACATACTAAAGAAGGACTTTGTCATAAATGCTACTGGGTAGCCATTTGGAAAAGGAAATAAATAGACCCATATGTTACACCCAACAAAAGAATAAACTACATGGTTTGGGCTCTAAGTGTAAAACTGAAACCGTACAAGGATCAGAAGGAAACATGAGTAACTTCCTCTTTGAGTGTATGTTGGGAAAGGCTTTCCAATGATGATTCAAAGCCCAGAGGCTGTAAAAGAAAAGAGGGATAAATTTGACTACATGGAAATAAAAAAACTTTGCATGACACAAATCACCATAAAGTAAGTCCATAGACAAGTGACAAGCTGGAAGAAAATATTCCCAACATTATACCACAGACAAAGGGCAGATCTCCCTAATACATAGGAACTCTTAAAAGTTGAGGGGACAAAACCCAAAAATCCAATAGTAAAATGAGGGGAAGGGCATGACAGACAATTTACCAAAAAAGATATAAAAAATGGCCTTCAGGGTCATTGGTCCCATGTCTGGCTCCCTGCTGAGTGCTTCTCCCTCTCTCTCTGCCCCTACCCCCCTCCCCGCCCCTGCCCTGCTCTGTCTTTCTCTCAAATAAATAAATAAAGTCTTTTAAAAAATGACCCTCGGGGCACCTGGGTGGCTCAGTTGTTAAGCATCTCCCTTCGGCTCAGGTCATGATCCCAGGGTCCTGGGATCAAGCCCCGCATCGGGCTCCCTGCTTGGCAGGGAGTCTGCTTCTCCCACTCCTGCTTACCCTGCTTGTGTTCTCTCTCTCGCTGTCTCTCTCTCTGTCAAATAAATAAATAAAATCTTTAAAAGATAAATAAATAAAATTAAAAATAAAAAATGGCCTTCAAACATATGGAAAAAAATGCTTAAGGACACTCAGAATTAGAGAAAGGCAAATTAAAACAACTCTGAGAAAGATTCCATTTCTCACCTATCAGACTGACAAAAAATGAAAAATATCACAATACATTCTGTTGGCGAGGTTGTGGGGAAACAAGCATTTGAATACATTTGTGTACCTCACTGGTGGGAATGCAAATTGACCCAACCCTCTGGAAAGAACTTTGGCAATACCTCACAAAATTAAATATGCACTTACACTTTCACCCAACAATCCCACTTCCATGAATCTCTCTTGAAGACAAGCCTCCAGCAATGTGAAAAGACATATGTGAAAGGTTTTTCATCGAAGCATTATTTTTAATTGCAAAATCTTGGAAACTTATGTGGAATTTGAGAAACAAGGCAGAGGATCATAGGGGAAGGAAGGGAAAAATGAAACAAGACGAAACGGGAGAGGGAGACAAACCATAAGAG